CAAACCACTGAAACAGAACATTAAGGAAAATAAACTAGTATGAATTCATAACACGGTTTGATTTACTCTTAAGACATCAAAGACATCAAATTCTCTGCAGTTTTACCCAACTGAGCTGAAATGAAATTATATAACTGCACCTTTCTCTTTAAACTCTGATATTTGCATGAATAAAGTAATTCTAGCTTTTTCCTCCACCTTTCTTCTTGTGCTGTCGGAAATACTTATTCCGACAAAAAAACGTGAAAACGACGAGAAGCAGAAAACCCGTTGTTGGCCGTCCTTGACAAGGTCAAATCTTCAGGTTTTCCTAATGAACTCGCTCAAGAGTTCAAATGATTGAATTTGAATGAAAATCTACTTTTGTTCATATGTTCATAGGCCTTACCGTTTACTTCGATCTTCTCCTTGACATTCACTGCCGGAAGCAGATCGGTGGGAGAGCAACCGCCCGGTAGTTGTTCAGATGGCACATCGGCACGTAGCAGTTTCAGCCTAAGTATTCAACTGTTGACGAAAAAAACCAGAAAAGCCTCTTCCTCTTAAAGTAATAGCAGCTAACGTTTTTTCAAACAAAAATACTGGAGACTTTCGTTCACCTGTCTCTCAGCCAGTTCTATCGATCTCTATCGTCGGCAATCACCCGTTAACCGGATTGGTTGTATTTCGCTTAATGCTCTGCCATAAAATTATAGAAGACAGAAAATAAAAAGTAAACACTGGAGACTTTGTTAAGAATATACTGAAGCCTCGATAATTACTACATACTGTAGTAATACTAAAGCTGAAAGAAAGTTCTGGGCGTTGATCAATCTCTGAGGGATGCAGCTGCATTCGACTTCATTAAGCATCGTTTGAAGGTTGAATGCATATCTGGCCTTTACAATGACTCGGTCTAGCGATGCATCGAGCCAGTACTGCTATCCTACCAGGCAAGTCTGGTACCAGTTTGGCGACCCCGGTGAGATGGAAGGCTTTGCGGGCCATGCGAGCGGGGATCGATTCCACGTGTGCGTTTCAGGGCGCCTCCAACCACTGGGCCACAATAGAAATACTAAATATAATATAATACTAAAGCGCCACTGTTGAAGCGTCGATAATTCTAAAAAAAGTGATAACGATAGTGCAAGTTAAGACCTTGCAAGTTCACTCATTGTCAATTTCGAAGTACGAGCATAGGCTAGTACATAAAAATATAACAAAACGACAAAAATAGTGGGAAATGAGCAGCGAAACAACGTTTCCAAGAAAGTTATATATTATTCAGGTAGGTCGGCTTTCCATTTAAAATTTCATAACAGATTCGGTGTGTTACGTCGTCTTCGAGTGCTCGATGGAATTAACTCAAAGATTTACTGCTCTCTTAGAGGAAACCAAGTCACAACTTAGTAAACATCTCTACGATTTTTATTCGGGGTTGAAGCATCTAAGAATAAACCTGTACAGCGTTTTTCTCTTCTTCAATTTCTCTTGTCCGACTGGAATTGATCATAGAGCGCGCCTGATTTACTTACATTTTGATAACGGTGTACGGTCCGGAACGCACATCAGCGATCACATCGAAATTAATGCGCGTGGTCGTGGGAGTGTTGAAAAGGGTGAGGTTACCCTGACATTCACTGTGATACTGACTTAGAACTGATAAGGTTCCACAACAGTCTTTCTCGTTTTGGAACCCTGTAGGTTTCGAAAATCTCCCTGAAGACAAATCGTTTTGGGATTCCTCCATCTGAAAACGGGTTTGTGATCAGTACTAAGTAACCTCGTTCTTGGACTAGATAGTATATCGGAAACCTTCCTCTCTGCTTATAGCCACGGGCTACATCCACTTCCCATAGTTTGTACGACAAATTTTCTTCGAAATGAAACAATACCTTATCAACGGAACATCTCGCGAGTAGAGATGGCTCATACGCAACAGAAACGATTGAATTGTGAGTGTAGGCTAATCGAACTACCTCATCCTCATACCTACGTCAGCTCTTTAGATAGGCATAGCAGGGTGCCCCGTGGAAAATTAAAGAGCAAGATGCTTTCATAAAAGATGTAGCAATTATACAAACGAAGTCCACATGTTCTGTGTTTACTCACTGAATTGCAACAATCATAATTATTTAGAAGCGCCAAAACAAATGCTATGCTTCGAATTCGATATCGTCGCCATTGTCTCTCATCAACATGAACTCAAGACACGATGACGTAAGATGTTTTACTACACATTTGGATAGCAACCTAGTACGCTATGAAAGTATATGTGACAAACTAAAGAACAAGGCGGTTAGCTTTGGTTTCCATTTTCCACCTATGCAGCTCAAGGTCGTCGGCTTCATCAACTAATTAGTTCCATGCTTGTATGTGAGATTCTGAGCGAAACAGTTCTAATGTAGGAGACTCAAAGCTCCTGACAACATCATTCTTTTGGGTTTCAGATAAGGTGATCATTCTTTGATTGACAGGTTTTAACATGGCTTGTACGCGAGGAGATGAAACTAGGCGAGCGAAGGCGAATTCTTTTTTGCGAGCGACCAGTCGATAAAGTTCTCGGACAGACATCAAATTGCGTAAGTGCTCTACAAGTACTAATACTACGATAATAATAATACTTACATCCTAGTCGTAGTGGTTATGGTTCAAAAAATACCTAACTTGTACAAGCTCTTTTCACGCAATGTAGTGGTGACAGTTTAATATATATTGGAGTAGTAATTTTATGATAAGTTCTTCAGTTTTATAGAACTGAGATGCATAAGTTAATCCCTTCCTAAGTTTTTTTCGCAATTCGCAATAGAACAAAGATGGGGATAAAATCCACAGCCATGTTCTAACTATTCTCTTCTGCCTATTCTCTTTTCATAGCAGAGTACGATGTGAGATACAACCGTAAGTATGCTGAGATATGACGAAAACTCGGAATCTCAGGTGGGCTTCGAACTCGCGATCACCTGTTTGAAAAAATGGGCAGAAAATAGGAGTTAAAACATTATGGTTTAGACTGCAACTTCGGATTAACTGGGTCCAATGCCAAATTGTTCTCTCCAGATCATTCCCGTTGCAGAGTGATTAGTAATAGAACGGATAGGGTAAAAATATGTTTGAGAGAAAGCTAAACCCAGGGCCTCGGTTGCAGAGGTGGTTGACCCGTAAACTTCCGGAAACGGTAATCACGGCTCGAAGCCCACCTGAGGTTCCGAGTTTTGCTCATATCTCAGAATTCGCGTTTTTGGACATCCGTCACATAAAAACACGACCACATTCATTTCGCATAAAGGATAAACGATATAGCTGTCGGCATTTATCAACTCCTGCGGAATGCACCATGCGTTCGACTTCATTAAGCATCATTTGGAGGTGATTGAATTCATATCTGGCCTTTACAGTGACTTGTGGTGGCCTATCGATGTATCGACCCCGTGCTGCTATCCTCGCAGACAAGTCTGGTACCAATATGCCGACCCCGGAGGGATGGAAGGCTTGGTGGGCCATGGGCGCCAGGATCGATTCCACATGTGTGTCGCAGGACGCCTCCGAATACTGCGCCACACGCGCCCTTTCATTTCCCGTATTGATAATAATTTATTGGGCCCTTGTATGTTATTTTGCCCAATTAAACGCCTTTGGAAGGCAAATCTGTTTATAAGATATAGTTTTAAATCATTTACAGACACAAAGCAGACAGAAAAACCATTTAAGACAGAGTGAAGATTTAATCGACCTGAGACAGTGGTACAGCGTTCAAGCATGTTCTTTTCATTACACACCACTTTTTCCTATCATATGATTTCGAATAAGTAGAAAAACATAGGTTTAAGGAAAGAATGGAAGTTGAATTCGGAAACCAAAAGCATTTCCAACGTTGGAAACGGTAAATGGAAGCGGTATTTATGAACGAAAACTATAAAGTAGTGGTATGATGAAAACATCTGTGTAGAACAACTGGGTACTGGTTTCAGCCGTACACCCGGGAGGACATTCGTCCACTATCGTTTCGAGCGTTTCGCAAAAGCATTCGCACTCATATATTACTGATCTACGAATGGTTGCAAGCGTGGCCGGATTACCAAACCCTTGGCAATAACGATAAGGTAGGTGGTAGATGTTTTGAAGTGATTCCTCTCCAATTGGAAATCGTCCTATCACTTCATTCGATGAAAATATCGATCGCTGTGAAAAAAATCGGAGAACTGATTGATGTTGAGTGAAATTGGGCTTGATTTTTAGGTTTCCTTCCTAAGAAAATGCGTCCTTTTTCATACAATACTTGATCCAGTGTATATTTCGATACAAATTGGGTGAGTCTATTTATTGCCTACAATAGCCTTAGCAGTGATTATTCTTATCAATAGCGCAGTTGTTATATCACTTATTGTAAAAATTCTTTGTAAATAATTAGGTACCCGGAGAGATTCGTGATGCAAAACGGCGGCTACGTTTCATGTGTTGAAGGATGTGAAGACGGATGGCATGGAGAGAAGGAAATTTCGACGGATGTGAAAAAATCGTGAGCGAATCTTTTCAGTGAAGTGACAATCTCTCTATATGATGGATAGTGCTTGGGAAGCATTTCTGTTCTCTTGAATGCGCTTCAGTGCACGAATTCAAGAGAGGCGTCTCCTGCCTTACCTATGGCTGAGCTTCGTAAACCAAGTGGTTTAACTCGTAATAGTTAGGACATAACCTACAATAGGATGTTGAGATATTTGCAAAACTGGACCGTAGGTGTCTGCAATGGGGAACGAACGCATTACTACTTTTCACAGAGCTAACGCGTCCACGCCACACCATGTGGGACCTTGGTTTCGCCTGTTCTTTTCTATCGATCAGTGCCATTAGCAATCGACCGTCAACTGAATTGATCTGGAGATCCCAAATCGGTATTGAACCCAGTTAAGCTGAGGCTGTAGTTGAAATCACAATGTTTACTTTTTATTTGCTGGCTACCACAATTTTTTTTCTGGTGTACGCGTTAGCCCCTCGAAAGGGTAATAGCGCGTTCGTTCCCCACCACAGACACCTGCTGTCCGGAGTTTTGCAAATACCTCAGCATCAGTGTGGTTGTATTTTGCATAATGCCCTACCATGAGGAATTATAGTAGGCAGCAAATAAAAAGTTAACCTACAGTAGTTCCTTTACTTTGCTGATTGGCTCCACAGCTTGCAGATTTCTGAAACGAATTTTCTAGTCAGTTAATAGTTGAGAGCAAGAAAATATTGACTAGCATATAGTCGGGATTCTTTCAAGGATTTATCTTCCGCTGCTGAAAAAAATAATGTCAGAGATAATTCCGCCGATGTTGAGTCTGGAGTTGTCATTTGAGGAATTCGTTGCGTTGAAAGCATTCGTCAGTTGGCAAGGAGGTTAGTTGATGTTGGGCATATTTCTTTTGAAACGTTCATGAAGAATCATCCTCAAGTAATTAACAGAGCTGTGGTTTTATTGGGTTGACCTAGCCAACACTGTCTTGACGTGATCGAACTTAGGGCATTCCTACCGCATATTGTTTGGTTACTATCTGTTGCAGCGATTTCGAACGTCTCAACAGATGGTCGTGACGCGATGCGGCGACAGATCGACGCCATTTCCAATTCACTTCATCTACACTATCAACGGGTTCGTTCGTTGAAGTGCTATTAAAATCTCATTCTCAAGGACAAATCGGCTGGATTTCGTAGGTAAACTATAGTATGAGATGTACTTTTCAACTTTCGTGTGCAACGATTCAACCATGCAAAACGCACCTGCTATTCCACAGTGTTAACACTGTAGGAAGAACATAAGCGGTCAACGATGATCAGTGCATTATGGATATCCCATGATTCGGATTCTATTGAGCATCCTAAAGGTTACTGAGTGGAAATATTTGGCGAATACAACGACTGCGCATCCCGATGCACCAAACCAGTGTTGTTATCGTCTCAGGCAAATCTGGTATCAATTTGTCGCCTGTGAAAGGAAAGGCATGGTTTGTCTGTGATGCGAGATGCAACAGACGGCGAAGTGTGCATTGCAAGTACAACCCAAACCATCGAACCCCGCAAACACAATATTTGAATGGAAATACGGCGGCAGTTTGGTGATAAAGATGCGAGGGGTATCCATTAACGGTTAATAAACTACCTTAAGTTGGTTTTTAAGATAGCGATACGCTATGTGTCAGCCAATGAAATACCGTCTGCTACAGGATAGGACTCACTGCGACGAGAAGGCGAACCGTATTGGAAAACACGAATTGGATTAATACCCATCCTGTACTAAAGAACACTGTCGAGTGAGATTGTTCATTCAATTGGTGCTCCATTCCACTGGATTCGCCTCGATGCGGAAACGAACATTCACATCTGAAAGAGCACCTGTGGGCCAACGACTTGGAATAGTCCAGTCCTGAGGAGAGCGAAGACGTCGAAACGTCGGCTGAATAAATATTAAAGCTCTCAAAAATATTTGAAACAAAGACATCATTCTTGGTTTATTTTCGTTATATTAAAATAGATATTATTTACACTAATATCGTTTCGCGATTATTGAAATAGTTCGCAAATTTCATGGACAAAGCTACATCACATCCATGGACCACACTTAAGCGATTTCATAAGAGTTACACAACACGAGAATAATTGCTGCTATCAATTTTGCTTCGGTACATGGATGGCTCGTCTTCAGTGGTTGTACCGGCCCCACCACCATTTCCATTTCTTCAGAGTTTTGCTGGTTTAACCGCTGTGGATCTTTGGAGTCCCGAAGGTAACCAGGCCGAAGTCTGCCCCAGGTCGCCACCACCACAAGCAGTCGTCCTTGTGGTGTGGATCATAGGGAGATTTGCCACCAAGCGACTAGTTTGATACCGAGATGGTGGTGGATCCCGCTATCAGTTTTCTCTTAGCTAGGCCTCCTGATGGCAGCGCCGGATCCCTTAGCGTGGAAGATCCTGTTGGGTGGACCAACTCCCAAGCTGTGCATCGCAGCCCGAGGAACACCTCCTAGCCACGATGACAGTGCAAACCGTTGGGAGGGCTTAAAATTTTAAACCAACATGTTTCGTTATATTCTTGTTGAGCAGACGCGATGTATTATTTTATTCTTTATTCAACAACAACCTAACGTTTCGGAGGATTTCGCCTTCCTCAAAGCCTGGAAAGATCAAGTTCACAGCAATCTATTCACCCAAACATCTCCATAACCAAATAAAGAAAACGCTAAACCAAGATTTCAATCACATTGAACACAGCTTTGCATACTCACCGCTTTCTATGAGACTTCCACTGAATATGGCGCGTGGATACCAACCCCACAGAATTCACCTGGAAGCGTAATGTGTCCCTCCTATCAGAACAACAGGCTTATTATATACTGCCCAATATCACGCGTGATAATAAGGCATTCCTCTCTGCGGTTTATTTTCGGATTTCTGGAATTAATCCAGAACGCCTCGAGAGTTCTACGCGCTTGTGTTCTCGATTCCTGTGCGAGGATCGTGACACGAGCTTCAAAGTCCTCCCCGTTATGTCTCTGCTTCCTATGCGTGCCTAGTGGAGTATATGGTTTACGTTTGCCGACTAGGTGTTCTTTTATCTACACGCAGAGTGGTCTACCCGTTTCGCCAATGTATTCGTCTCCGCACGCCTTACTGGAGATCAGATAAACTGTACCCGAGCTCATGCAATCACCGTCTCCACCATTAGGGGAAATTATGCAATTTTGCGTTGCACAGAGACGGTCACACAGACGGTTACGAACTAGCTGACGCCTAAGAGTACTCGATGGCATTTCAACTATGTTTACCGAATTCTCTAGACCCGTCCTTCTTAAGCAGCGTTTTATAGCTGCACTTACATCATTTGAGATGAAGGGTAGGATGAACGGGACCTTTTTATTGCTAGAGTTGTCGTTTGGCGGCTTGGGATTTCCCTACACCACTCCCGAGCTACAGTTTCGTATCCATTAGAAGTTGCTATTTGCCGTGTCAAGTTCCGGGACTACTCTCTCTGCTCTCTTCCCGTGCACACGTTGACTGCTGTTCGAAACATTTTTCCTACAAGAGCCCTTTTCGTGTGAGAGGGGTGAGAGGAGAGGATGAACCAAGATGTTTTTACTACTTGGTTTTCGGTATCACTTCGTAATGTAGCCGTTTTCTGATAGGTTAATTTAGACGTTCAGGAATGGAAGCCATTTTTCTTTCGGTTTCTCTCAAGTGAACTTGATATACTCTGACTGCATTCAGCAACTCGAAACACCTGTCCATTTCCTCTTGTGTTGAGCAAATGACAAAACAGTCGTCTATATATCTACAGCAGAGTAATGGCCAGAGATCGATTACTGGCGCTTCCACCTTAGACATTAATGCAATGGCAAGGCTTGGTGCCAGTCGTTGTCCCATTGCCAGCCCTCTCATTTGTGCGTAGTACCTCCCGGGCCATCTGAAGATTGTGCAGTTTAGGCACTCCTTGAAGAGCGTTATCAACTGTTGAA